TGTTCATCATCTGGATAAGCCTTTCTAGTATTTTTATGTATATGGCGAATCCAAGCTCAACATCGTTTAAAGGTTCTCTCAGCTGACTGGTTTTGTTCTTTCTTACTTTGAGTTTTTCTTTGCTTCGTTTCCGATAGAAATAGCATGTCTATATCTATAATGTGGTTTTTAGTGATCAGCTTTATACCAAGTACCCTAGGTTAGGCCCTATATGTGTTTCCTGCACTAGAAATATGTCAGATTCGTGTTTAGCGCATATGTCTGATAAGTTTAAGTAAAGTTAAGTTTCTTTATCTCTAGATATACCCTTAACTGTTGCTATTAGAATAGTTGGTCCTAAAAAGCACCAATTTGACAAAATCATGTTAGAGGGGTGACTGAAGAATTAGGCGATTAATTAATTAATCATTACCCGGGGTATGCCCGATTGTGGTGGTCTTATTAGTACTTCAATCTTCGTACAGGCTCGATCTTTGAACCCCATAAGCAATGCCTAATCTTTTACTTTTTATTAAAAATTTAAATTTTACATATTACTTTTTCACGATATTTCGAATCAGATTTGTAAAGTAATAATTTTAGGTATTATAGAATTAATTTTTAATTATTGTTGGATTGATACTAAAAAGTAGTACCCAAAGTGCTTTAAAAAAGATGAACGAATTAGCGAGCTGTTTTGAAACCTAAATATTATGAATCGAATCGGGGATATTATTTTACACAAACTAAACCGCTTGTCTACAAAAAAAAATCGAGGAAAATATGATACGGCTGGAAAGACTAATGACTTAGCTAATTACCACATAAATATCAATGTAACGCAAATAGGATGATTTTGGATATTTATAAATATACAAAATAATATTATATATACCCATATAGATACAATAATAAAATGAAACTACAGCTAGGTATTACACAATATAATAAATACTTATTTAGATAAACGTAAAATGGTCAACTAAACGTTAACGATAAATGTTTCAAATAAAGGTTAAAACATGTTTTCCAATTCGCGGAAAAAGATTTATTACAGCATATAAGACAAATTCGTAACAAAATTCATATTATTATTTAAACGGTACTCAATATACCAGCAAAGTAATTTTTGCAACAAATATGTAGATTGTACCTTACCCCTTTGGCACACAGAAACCACAAAAGAATTAAATACAGCGCAAAGGAACTCATTTCTTCGATAACTGAGCAGCCACCATATCTACTGGATAGAACGACTGTCTTTGATGACTGAGCAGCCTTCATCCCTACTGGATGGAATGATTGCCTTTAATGACCGAACAGCCTCGACCCTTATTGGATGAAATGACTCTCTGTTACTGGGCTAATTATACGAGGAGAATCAAAACTAACAAAAAGTTTAATAATATTTAAATAATGCTTATATATATACATATGTAGTTGCAAAAGTAACAACAAAAACTCTACAAATTCAATACGAAAAAGCGGAAAATATGGGTCTTTATATATAAACGAGAATAAAAAAATATAGGAATATCATAAGAAGAGAAACATGATAAGACATACTAATTTAATAGACCATACAACTTTAAAATGGTTCATCGGTCTAAATATGTGTGAGCTAAAATCACTGTTAATAAAAACATTACAAACGACATTAACAACAGAATATATAATGGCAATCGCTCCTTTTTAAGCAAAAAATTAAATCCAAAAATATACCATGCAATACCAAAATTACGAATTTACCATGCAGTCGTAAGACCTATAATAACATACATATGTACATGAAACATGGACGACGTAAAAATAAAATAACAGCCGATTGAGCATCGCAGAAAGGAGAATTATTAAAGAAATATATAAACCTGTTATCGATAATATTACAAATCAATACAGAGTGCGAAACAACCGCGAACTAATTGATTATTATGACCAACTAGATAAAGTAAAAACATAAATAACATCTTATATGTAATACCTTGTAAAAATAATATTGTACATTTTTAAGAACGAACTCCTATTTGAACATTGAAGCGTCAAATAAAATATGTAGTACATAATAAATATTGTGGCATATTTCTTTCATTCTATCCAAAAAATTAAAAAAAAAAATAAAGTCAGACATATTGAGATGGATTACTGAATACTATTATAGCATACAAGTAGTTTGAGCTACCGGATATTTAAATACATTAAAACTTGGTGTGAACATTTTGGTTAAAAGAATAAATTTGATTTTTATATTACACATGTAGTTGACGTTTCTATCTCCAAATTCTTTTTTAGAGTTCTTTTCTAGACACGTACTAAACAAATTTTGTTTATATTGCATTTTCTTCTTTTTGTAGATTTAATAGTGATATGAGGATATCAGTTTGCTACATATACATAAAATACAAATAGACTGACTGTTGGAATACAGGTCCGTTTCCCCAGTGCGACAGAGAAAACTGGCGAAAAGCAGTCCCTGCTTCTCTTTCTAATTTGCCAGGTTTATCGAACGCATGACCTAAATGACCAATGAGAAGGTCACGTGGTCGATAAACCCGTCCCATTAGAAAAAGATACAGATATTGCTTTTCGTCAGATTTCTCTGTCGCATTGCGGAAACGTGAATGTATGGCAGTATTCAGTCTATTTGTACTATATGTCTATGGTTTGCTACATGCATTTTCGCTTTTATCTTTTATGTGACAAAGTTATCAGCGATATCTAAATAGCTCCAATCCTTCAAAAGTATATGGTTTTATTGTTACATTAATGCTCCATTCTATATCATACCTTTTGTCTGTTAATGAACTTTTATTTGGTTTTCTTGTTATTTACTATAACACCGTTTTTTTTATGCTAAAAGCATTATTCAATATATTATAATGTGTAATTTCTCTGGCTGCTGACGAACAGAAGTTTTTATTAACTTTTCTTTAATATAATTATGTATGCAGATTTGTATTTTGATCTTCTCACGGTGCTAAAGAGCAAATGTAATAGTTTATTGTATTTTTCCATAAGATTTCTAGTTTTTCACTGTGTCATGGCTTCACTTATTTTTTTTCCTACGATTTACATTAATTCATTTAATTATTATTTCTGAAATTTCAAGTTTATACACAGTTTCTTTTGTTCCGCTTATTTATCTAAGATATGTTATTCATTCTTATCTATCTATCTATCAATATAAGGATTTTTACAGCTGTCGCCGCCTTCCTTCTTTCAGCCAACGTCTCCAGTCCTCTCTGTTCTGCCATTCTCCATCTCTAAGGTCTCGTTTTTCCATGGCCTCGTCCACTTCATCCCTCCATGATCTTCGGGGTCTACCTCTTTTTCTCCTTCCTATTGGGCTCCAATCCGAAATCCTTGCTATCCACCTTGTATGATCTGTTCATTCTTATCTACAGATGTGCTTATTCCCTATCAATTATCTATCAATATTTGAAGTCTTTTTTTATTTGTTTTAGTCATTGTAATGATTCGCATCCGTACATAAAAATAGCTTGTATTATGCTCTAAACTCCTTCAGTGGTAGTATTACCAACTGCGATTATTGTTCTAAGATATTTAATGTCTTCCATACTTTCGAAATTGAAATTGTTGACTTTAACGTTGTATCTAGATTTATTGACGGTCTCTTATGTTTATGCGCTGGTATTTGGTTTTCACTTCGTTGATTTTACTTGAAACTTTTTTCGTGCTCTCTGGACTTTGTTCAGTATGTCGTTTACATATTTATAGATGTAATCATCAGCATAACTAGGAGCTGCTTTGTACCTTGGGCCGTTAATGGATTACATCGTAAATCGGCGCTGTTTCTATTTTAATAAATTGTTCTTTAATTTTTTGACTATTTAAATCGAGAATCTGTATTTTATTCGACTGTTTATTAAGGCAGAGTTTCTTGGGGCCAATTTCTCTCTCAAGGTTTTTGTTTCCTGTATCAATATAACAATTTTGCTGGATGCCGACATAGGAAACCCGTTGGTATGTACATACTGTTTCGATATCTTTTTGTCTCGTTATAAAGTGAATATTAGTTTATTAGGAAATATGATATTGTCTAATAATAGTTAAGTTGTTTTGCTTTGCTTTCTCAGACTGCTACCGTCGTGCCTTCTGGTATTTGATATTTCAACCGTCAAGCAACAATTCCTATATGCATTAACTTAATGCTGATATCCTGCTTCCCCAATCCAGTTAGCAGTCCCGAAACCAATAAAATTGCTACATTCAAGTTTTCTATTAAGCTGCCCAGAACTATAGGTACGCCTTATTATCTTACTGATGTTAGTGCTGCCCCTTATAAGTGAATAAAATATGAAAGGAAGGTTTTGGTAATTTAATAAGATCCTTGTGTTACTATATAATGTCTCCGAGAAAGTAATATCAAAACGCTATTCGGATTTAATCCATAGCTCAAATATTAGAATGCTATAAAATAATGCTATATATTAGCATTAATAAGTTTATAATGGATACTAAAGTTTGAAAATAATTAGAGCAAGTAATTTAAATTATCATATCAATAAGTGCTTATTAAACATAAAAATAAAATAAAATTATATTAACAATTTATATTATAATATATTTAAAAACAGTAGCCAAATATTCTTGGAATTCCTCGATGACTAACCTGGTGGATATTTAAATAAATTTTAAGTTCTAAAATGTACCTGCTCTAAAATTTGAAAATCTACGACTAATACAACTACTGGCAACATCGCAGGAGCTTAGTTGTGTACGCTAAAAGCTGTATACGGATCCCAAAAATGTTTTATCCAGTTACGGAGTCCACTTGATCCGACGTGTTGGTCGGAGTCTACATAAAGCGCTACTCAGATAATAATATACACGGCGTATATTCTCCTGGAGTTAGTATAATACCGTTTTAGTACGGAGCCCACATTAACCGCTAGAAGTATATATATATATATATATATATATATATATATATATATATAATGATAGGGTATTTTTAGAAACAATTCGGTTTGAAACATCCATTAAAATTACTTAAAACTTACTTGACAGCGCCTCTCTCGCCAGCTGCAACTCCAATTCCAAAGCGTGAGTGGCTGAATTTGGATCGGCATTTTCCGATAAATTTTTTCGCTCGGCAAGAGCGGATGTGGCCCCTGATACGACAAGTCGTTTCAATCTCGTCACTTCCGCTTGAAGCCGCTCGTTTTCCTGACGTAGTCTCCGGATTGTCGCTGAAGACTTGGGGTAATTCGACGGTGAAGGTAACAAGGCTGAAAGGTCGTCTCGGTTGCCGTCGGAACTCCTTGGGGAACGGGGTGAGGACGAGTCTGCTGAAAAAGAACGGCAAATTAGTATTTTTTTTATCTGAGTTTTATTGCTGTCTAATTTTTATCCTGCCATTGGGCAGTGCTACTTACATTAAACTTTAAAACTATAACAGGATATAATACATATTTTCAAGATATTTGAGATGAATGAAAGCTCTTAAATACCTATTTGGATATGTCCAAATATGTAAAAGCCATAGATTGATAAATTTCTTATGTTTTCTCTGTTCTCAGATAGAAAAATAGGGTTTGTTCTAATAAAAGTCACAGATTGGCCAATTATTTTTTAATTTTCAATAATCAGATATAACAAAATAAAATGTATGCTCAGAAAATGGATAATATGACATCTTTGAAAAGTTTGGATAAATATTGGCCTATTTAATATGCCAATATTATATTTTTTGAACAGATTATAGCAATCAATTGTGTGAAGTAGCATTATTTATACTTAGATTGGAAGATAATAATGTAAAGTAGCCATAGGATCAAGACTTTTAGACTGCTTATGTATTTATAATATTTAGGAAAGGAACGAATATCGAGGGTTCAAAGACAGTACCTCGTAAGTAACAAGTAGCTAATTTTACAGGATGAACAAAAAACTGTTTAAGAGTTGATAAGATGTAGTTATTTTTTGAAATCTTTTAAATTTATTATATTTTAAACTTCCTGATTTTGTAAGTAAAATAAAAAAAAGTGTGAAGCAAAATTAAAAAAAAATTAAGTCACTTAAGAGGTAATGTCTGTTTTTGTCTGTCACATACGAGGTAATGTTCATTTCTTTAATGGTTAATATAATACACCATGTTTGTATTATCGTTGTCATTATCATATTATTTAGGAAAATTAAAGACAAGAGTATCTCATTCTTCAAATTTGTATTTATTTAGTAATAAATTGATAAATACATACTTATCTAAATAAAAACTACATAAAACAGAAAAGGAAAAAAGCAAATATTAGTTTATTCTGATTGTTAAAATCTAAAAAAAAGGTAACAAAATCCTAAAATTATGGCAATGAGGAACAAATCATGCACTAGTACTAATATTATGAACATTAATTAAGATTAAGACTTATACGGCAACAAATCATAAAAAGACCAACAGTCTTTAGGAATAACTGATTTGATTATTTGTAGGTGGTCATACTTTGTTTTTGAAATTGCTGGTCTATTTTGAAACAATGGGGGAAATTTAATAATAGAAAAATCAACATTTTTTGGTCTAGTTGGGATTTCTTCAAAGGAATCTTCAAAATTGATTTTAAACAATATTTTTCCATTAGTATATCTTAAAACACGAATATCTGTAACTGTATTACCACCAACTAATTTACTAGGTCTAATAGAGTTGTATTTCATAAGATTTTTGTCGGCAAAATTTTGGAAAAAGGTGTAATCAAAATTTACTACTGTAAATGGATTTTTATGCCTAGCTTCCTTTGTTAACCTTAAATAGTCACTAGGAAGATAAATTTCCCTATTTTTTAGGACTGTCTCAATAGAGCTGTGCACTGAATCACACTCCATTTGCGTGTGACCTTTTTCTAAAAATTTTTGGTCAATTATGACATTGTATTTTTCAGATAAGAAAAGCAAAGTATTAGACATTACACTGTTCCGGTTTTGGGCAGTACACCCATCAGAATAGATAGTTATGGGAAGTTTGTGTGATGAGTTCAGAAAATGTTCTTCCAAATAATGTTTCAGAAAAGATGCGTAGGTGGAAGCCTGACCATCTGCTTCTGTCTCGTTGTACCAATAGCAACTAGCTTGGCTACTAGCCAAATTATAGATAGTATAATTATGGCAGCAAAGTTTAGTTTTATAGTAGAGTGCACTGGCCGGTAATTGAGGAGATAGTTTCACTGACTGAACATCCATCGTAATAACAAAAAGTTTTCCTTCAACAGCCTCCTTTTTGTCACGTTCTTTCTCACTTCTAGCTCGATCTTTTCTGATTATGTGGTCATTATATTCTTTTTCAGAAAAATTTCCATTTTTAAATTTAAAACAACTGTCACACTGGTCTTTGCGTGGATGAAAAATAGACAACTTCATTGTGTCCATCATAGTTCTTAAACAAGTGTGAGTTAATGGTGTCTTTCCATTTTCTGTACAAAATTTGCAGTAAGCCCTATACAAATCTGAAACAGACTGAAACACTTGCTCCAGATAAAGTCTATCGGTGTCTTTGCGACAGTAATGGGATGGTAGTTTGTTGAGATTGTTCAGAAAACTACTTAAAAATTCTTGATCTTCTTTAAATATATTTACCCGTGGCTTCCGCGTACTAACTTTGTTTTCGAATGATTCATTCATTCCATTTTGGTTTTCCATCACCCAAGATCTTACGGACCACTCCCCTAAAGCTAACGTTCCAAGGTACATAGATTTACATACAGGAACATTTTCATTATTAACTTTCAGGCTATACTGAAATGTTACATTACGGCGAGACTCATGGTCTAATTTTTTTGGCCTTGTTTTTTTAGTTACAGCAACGGTGTTGGACACAAAAATTTTGCGCTGATCCCAAGACATTTTCTCCCAAAACATTTCAAATAACTTGTTACGGTCTTCCTCCGATATAAGAAAACATTTTGGTGTAGATTTATTATGTTTGCACTTGCATCTTGTTTTCATCTTTCTCTCGGCTCTATTTTGATCATGAAATGTATTTCGCTGACCTGCAGGTTTTCTAAATCCTAAATATTTTTCACCACGCATTCTTAGCATTTTGTTCTTTTCCTTCTTATTTTCGCCTTTTTGTTTTTTCTTGTTCTTTGGTTTATTTATTTCTTGATCTCTTGCGTTTGATGCGTCACGTTCAATCTCGAAACTTAAGCTAGAATTTGTGTCAGATCTTTCATCGTCCATTTCTGGGTCATAACTTTCGTCATTATCCTCTTTTTCTTGATTAGTAGATTCAACTAAAATATTATTTTCACTTTGAGAACTTTGTTGGCTAATGTCGATCAGTTCATTGTTGGTAGTTTTTTTCTTAACATTTTGTAGACTTGTATGATTATTTTCTAAAGAATTTTCTATAATACTATTATTTTCCAACAAGTCTAATGTCTCGTGTATATTATCCAAGCAACTAAAACTGTCATCAAAAACCACAGTAGCGTTGTTAATTATGTCTTCCATTTCTTTTGGAGAAAGAACTGGTGCAATCGACTGAGCATTATCTATTTCCAATAAAACCGAATTAGACAGGGTATTTAATTTTTTCTGCGCTTGATGACAGTCACTCTCTGGATCAATATTCTCGGTCCCTTTATTGTTTTTCATATCTTGATACGTTCGTTTAGATGGCGAAGATATTGTTTCACCTGTTTTAACTTTACCTAACCGCATCATTTCCTTAGTACGACTGGAAAATGGCATTATGCTGTTTAAGTGCAGTAACTCGGTAACTGTATTGAAGGCTGAATCTTGTAGGTGACACCTGTAAATAAAATAAGTTTTTAGTGAAATAGTCACTAACATAAACAAAAAACTGCTTTATCTAATAAACTTAGTACTATTTACCAGAATAAATAAATTTTATTTTAATAAAATCTCTGTTTTACCTTTAAACACCTGATAGCGTCGAGCAACACAACAATAATGGCCACCGAAACTTGATTTTTAAGTGCAGTAACTCGTAACTGTACGAAAGACAGGACCTCGTAAGTGACACCTATAAATAAAACAGTTTATAAGAGAAATATTAATCAACAGCAACACAAACACTGCTTTAGACAGCCAAATTATGTTGTATTTAACAGAATAAATACAGTTGATTTTAATAAAATCTCCATTTTACCTTTAAACTTCAAACAACGGCGATCAAAACAACAACACTCAAACATGCCCACTTTCGTACTGTACAAACTGCACCATACAAGGTCCTGGTTTTAAAATATTTTTACCGCGCATTTACGAGTTAACGTTCCCTTACAGTTTTCTACCTAAGGCCTGAAATATTTGATTCTTTAGAACTGCCAATAGATGGATCTGTATGTCCTAAACTAGATTATATGATAAAACCGATTTTAATAAAAATGTCACTTACGAGGTACTGTCTTTGAACCCTCGATATATAAAGTAGGTCACGATAATGAAATTAGCAAATAAAAAATGCCGTAATTGAAAAAAGTGCAAAACAAAAAAAAGGAGTTTAAGGAAACGAAGCAAAAAGGAATACATGGCAAACACATCAGCAATGATGAGAAAAATTTATTACTGACATTAAAAATTATTAACATGGAAGACAAAATTTTGCCTACAAACTAAAAAACAAACAAAATGGCCTAGAAACATAAACCTATCACTGCCATTAATGGATATGTATATTGATGCCTTAGTATAAAAAATTATATTAGTATAACCCCTAATTTGTAAAGAAGAGGACTGAGAAGAAAAAACTTTATATACAATAAATAATATAACGATGTCAGAACCTATGGAGGCTAGCTATCAAAATATCATAGAACAGAAAAACAATAAAAGCAGACAAAATAAACATGGCACTTCTAAGATACTGAGATCTTTCCTACATATATTATTGCTACATATTGATATAAAATGATATGGAATCGATAATATTTAAAGGGTGGCCAAGGGCACAGGCTGTAATACAAACAGTAGTTGTTAAAAGGCAACTGTAATACTTTTAAAAGCTATAAAGATACCAATCTAGTAAATACGATTTAAAAATGTACTCCAAAATTAATATATGTACACATATTAACAAGTCATCAAAGGACTTAACACACTTGCGACAGATTAAGAGTGCAGATAGATGACTGTTAAAAACCGATGTTGAAATAAAGCAAAAATGATATGAGTACTTTAAAAAGTTAATATAAGAAGAACACCAATGGAGAGACAGAGGATGCGGAATCCAAAATGAGAATTTGTCCACCACTTCAAAGGTAGTTGCAATCAACAGTAAATTGGTGACCGATGTTTCTGGCTCTATTTTTGTGTGTTGATGTCATTATCTTAG